TCATGCCAAGACTTTCCATAATCCCAGCCTCTGAAGTGGAGGATCCAAGTATCAGATTTGCCTGTCTGTCCATGGGCAACGCCCCACACTACCACTTCTGCTGTGCCTGCATGTGTACATGTGCGTGCATTTGAGGAAAGGGTGATACTGGCTGGTAGGGTTTGAGGGCACTTCATGGAGGCAGAGGCTGGTACATGGAGGCTGAACTTGAAGTGAGGAGCCCCAGGGCTGGCATTGACAGGAAAGTGAACCATGTGAGTCCCCTATTTAAATCAACACACACAAAAACCTCCCCTCTTTCCAATTCCCTCTTGCACTGGTACTTTTCTAACTCAAAATCTAGACATACTGTCTGACAGAGGTTTTCTGGTGGTTTTTTCTTTCTTTTTTTTTTTTTTGGTGGTTGTTTGTTTTCCTTTTAGTAATGGGTGTGTTGCTATCCCTTGCTAAAAGCAAACTGCAGGTCCTAAACACAGTTGGTCAATTGTAGAGCAACTGCATAGAATATTTAAAATTAGTAGTGTTCTAAAAATTTGGCACTTCTGGAGGATGCATTCATGTTTATTGTTCTGTTTATTTGTCAACATTCTGTTCTTTATCAGCCTTTATTTGGTAAGTGTAAATCTTAGTCCTTAGACAATAAGCTTCCTAGGACAAAAGGTACAGATTGTATTCTTCATATATCTCTGTCCACATAGGTAGCTACATACATTTTGACCAATTGCATAAATAGCTGATAGTGCATTTTTTAAGACAGCTGTTTGGAATTAGAAGCTTGGCAGTAGCCTGACATTAAGGCAAAGGCAGACTGGAGAATAGAGTCCCCTTCCTCCCTCCAGAGAGTATTCAAGTCAGGCCTGGGGTAGGTCTATGTTGAGAGGCAGATAATTACCCTGATCCAGAGTGGCCCCAGGTCTTGTCTGGCAGACTGAGTTATATCTGTCAGGGCCTTTTAAAATGCTGACCCGGCTCCTTAGAAGTACAAAACCCAAAACATAATTTATAAAGGTCACTGGGAATGGCTTAGGTCAGAATAACTAGAGTTCATTATGAGCCAATGCCACAAAAGAGGAAATCACAGGATACTTAAATTCCTTGAGAATACAGTGTTGTTAACTGCAAATAAAGAATGAGATTGGTTTATAAGGGAGTTCTTACTCTAATTCAAATGCCAATCCTGCAATGAAATCTGCCTCTAAGAATTCCAGTCAGCGATTTTTATCATCTGACTTGGAAACTAAAGTCTCCACCAGCTGTGCTCTCAATAAGTACAGAGATTTACCACCTGCAAGTGTTGTAATTCAGCAAAACTTTGTGGAGGTAAAAGTACCTTGAGAAAAACTTATTTATTTTAAATGCAGTGAGAACTGTGCTTTAAAAAATTCTACTTCTCTGAGATCTATTAAAAAAGATCTATAAAGATCTCTGAGATCTATAAATCTCTAATTTAAAGACAAAAGTAGGGAATCTACGTGTTAAGGACCCTTAAATCCAGGAATTAGAGTTTAGCTAAGTAAGCTGAAGTGAAAGTTACTGCAACTTAGTACAAAAATATACATGGAACAAGTGAGATAACACAACATAGTTAACTCTCAAATTACATATCATTAAAAGCCTTGATAGCCAACAAACGTATGAAGAAATGTTCACGATCATTAGCCATTAGAGATGCAAATCAAAACAACCATGAGATACCATCTCACCCCAGCATTAACAGCAAAATTGAACAAGACAGAAAATAACAAACGCTGGCAAGGATGTGGAGAGATGGGGACCCTCATACACTGCTAGAGGGAATGTAAAATGATACAACCCCTAAGGAAATCCATATGGTGATTCCTTAAAAAGTTGGAAATAGAAATACCATTTGACCCAACAATCCTATTACTATGTATATATCCAAAGGAGTGACAGGCAGGACATGAACAGATACATGCACACTCATGTTCACTGCAGCACTATTCACAATAACAAAGAGATGTAAACAACCTACTGAGGAAAGGATAAACAAACTGTGATACATAGGCACAATGAAATACTATGCAACCCTAAAGAATAATGTGGAATCTGCAAAACACTGAATAACGTGGATGAACTTGGAGGACATTATGCTGAATGAAATAAGTCGATCATAGAAGGACAAATATTGTATCAATCCACTGTTGTAAAAAGTTAAGGAAAAGTTTATACATAGAAGGAAACTGTTGGTTACCAGGGTTGGGAGTGGACGGGTAGGCTTAATTCCTAGATAGGTTGAAATATTTATATGTATTTACACATAGAGAGAGAGAAAAAAAGAGAAAGAAACCAAAGATTATTAGTGTTTACCAGAGGTAGGAGGGAGGGGGAAAAGGGAAGCATTCGTTTCTGGGGCATTGAGTTTATGCAATGGTGGTGGAATATTTTGGAAAAGGATAGCAATAATGGTGGCACAACATGAAAAATGTCATCCATGTCCCTGAGCTGTAAATGTGGAACTTGTTATGTTGGCGAATGTTTTGTTGTGTGCTTTCACCAAAACAAAAGTAAAAAAAAAAGCCTTGATAGCCTTATGCTTTATCTACTTGAGAAGTAGAAGTTTAACACTAGAGTCAGCTCTACAAAAAGTTCCTCAATAAACTCGTGGTGGTAATTTTGAACAGTACTTAAGTCAAAGAAACTAATAAGTATTGTGGACTTATGAATTCATATATCAAAAGCCTTTCAAATATATTTTATTATTTTAGAAAATGTACATGATATCAGAGCTATCCCGGAAAAGCCAGTGCATATGGTCCTCATACCAATGAGTCCCATTTCTCATTCATTTGCTCTTGTTCCTTCCACACATGGGCTACAGCTGCCTGTGTATAAAACTGATGCAATATAATTTTGTCACTTATATCATCACCTGAGCACTTAGATACCACCCTGGGAAAACCAACCAAGATAAGGTTTTACAAAATAATGGTTTCAGTGAACCTTTTATAGCTGTATTTGAAAGGATTTCACACACACACACAAATCCCTGAATTGGTTATAAAGCAAAATTTTCAAGAGAAGGAATGCAGTGAACTTCATAGCCTGAAATATGTAAGAGATATATCAAGAGTACAGAACTGCAATTTTACTAGCACTTAAAGTTTAAAACAAGCCAGTTGGCCAGTAAGCTGCTAGTGCAATCTCAGGTCTTCAATCCCTCATCTGTAAAATGATGTGATTAAATCAGATGATCTCTGAGGTCTCCATCCAACTCATTTAATTCATGGATCTCATTTGTCCATATACCTTGAGATAAGCAGTTAGATTGAGGATTAGCTTATACCAATTTTACAGCATTTCATTTATTGATGAATTTTCCTTAACTGGGGCTCATACAAGAGTAGATAACACTATATGTATATATGTGTATATATATATATAGTAGATAACACATGGAGATCCAAGACACACTATGTTGACACACTGAAAAAATATTTTAGGTAAACATAAAACCACACTATATATACATTACACTCATTTATTCCTTAGAAAAATAAAGGAGTTTTGGACAAGGTTTTCAGTTTTCATGTGTGCCATTCATAAATAAAAATATAACCGTTAACATAAAAGCTTCTGTTTAGAGAAGTCAGTAATAGACAGCTGTAATATCTAAAATTATATAATATAGAAACACAAAGTTCATACTAGATACTAAAAGACAGTAACTTTTCAGAAACTATTATGGATACAATATTGCACTTGTCCTTATCCTTTTAAGATAGTGTTTTTTTAAAAAAGACTTAAATGCAATCTTTATACTTTTTGGAATTTCTGATAGATCACAACTTCAAGTAATATTCACAGGTTTTGTAATTTTTATTTACCCATTTCATATAGTATAATGTAGTGATTAGATTAAGTATTAGTAATAGGCAATCAATAAACTATTGAGTAATAAGAAAAACCAATATTTTAACAATTTAAATGCAGGATAATTTGTATCTGACATAAAACACATACAAATATCTAGAAAGAAAATACATCAATTTTTGATCATTAAAGTAGCAATTTTATTTAATTAAAATATATTTTTGATTAGTTCAGACTAATCAATACTTTGATCAAAGAAAAGACAATATGTCACTGGTAAAATACATATGTATTTAGTGTCTGTAGGAGTCCCTAGGTTATGCATTTGGCTACTAAGTCAAAGGTTGGCAGTTCAAATTCATCTAGAGGCACCTCAGGAGAAAAACCTGAAGATTTTTTGATCTACTTCTGTAAGATCACAGCCACACTGAAAACACTATGGAGTGCAGTTCTGCTCTGACCACTAGGGTCACTATGAGTGGGACCTGATTCAACGGTTTGGTTTTTGGTAGTGAGTGTGTCTGCATGTGTTTCGGGGGAGGAGGTGGGTGTGTCTGCATGTATCAATTAACCCAAAAGTTCTAAACTAAACCATTGAAAAGATATATTTAAGAGAAAGGCTATGGTGGCCTAAGTTACATGGATCTTTATATAAACCAGCAACTTCTAAATTGTGTTTTATAAATCTAGTGAGTCCAGATAGATATTAGTTGTTTGTCTCTGCCTCTGTTTTGCACATGGTAAAGTTTCTGTCTTTTCACTAATTACATGGGATGGTACTCCCATTCTCAACTCTTCTCTCAGAAGAAGTTATATAATTCGATTAGATATTGCATATTATTTTCATTTTACTTTTCTGTATTCACTAGATCTAAAAACAGTCTAACCATGTAGTTTTTCTTCCAGCCTCTCAAATTACTTTCTTTCACTCACTAATAATGATACACTGAAGGACTCAGACCAAAATCAAGGTAAAATATACCCCCTGATATAAACTTATAACAATTTGAGACTTTAGAATGATCAAACATGTTGAAATATTAAAATCAATCACAGATTCAAAAATATTATTTTGAAGAGATTTTTTATCAGAAGTCAAGGAATAATTTACAGCAGAAAGTATACTTTACCATGTACCAGATTAGCTGAAAAGAACAAACAATGGCATTTCACGTGAGCAGAGCAGTTGAAATGTCATTTACCGTTGTTTTAATGTCTTGATTTTGGCAGTTTGGACTAAGAATGAAACTGCTATTGGACTTTTCACACTGTTTGTCTAATTTTGGGGAAACAGTTTGTTCTTGATGCTTTCTGTTCTCTTTAGGAAATCCTAACGTCACTTTGTCCCCAGAAGGCTGACATGGCCTCTCTATATGAACCATTTGTTTTCCTGCTTCTGTTTCTTGTTCTTGCAGCAATCTTTCTACTTCTACTTCAAGTTCTAAAGTTTCCTCATCAGCTTGTACATCCAGCTGTTGCATCAACTCTTCCAACTTCTTGGCCTTTCGGAGCTCGTTTTGCTGTATAATCGTACAAAGATGCTCAGTGAGTTGCTCTTTAATTTCAGTCTTGCGCTGTAGATCTAGCTTTGCTGTAACATACTCTGCTTCAGCCTTGTCAAACCGCTTCCTGTAAGTACAGGTACAAAGACTAGTCTATTAGTTTTCCATTGAGAAGAAATATAGAGGAGGATGTAAAAACTATAATCATACTCCAAAATCAGAAAAAAAAAAGGTAACAAAACTATGCATATTAATACTTTACTAACACTTGTCTATACCTTAAAACAAATTAGGCTATGGCTGGTGAAACTTCCACAATATCCTTATCTGAATTCCTCATATAACATTCTTCCGTACTGTGAAGGGAGGCTAAAGATGGTTCATTTAGTGGTGTGCTAGCTAGGTGGGGAGCCCTGGTTATTAAAAGTTTGCCAGTTTCTGTAGTACGAATACTACCACCACTGCCAATATTCAAGTTACGATGTGTTATGAATTGAACTATGTTCCTCAAAACTATGTGTTAGGATCTTAACCTCCATATATGTGGGTGTAATCTAATGTAATGTAATCACGTTCCATAACTCCATCTAATGTATAAAATCACTTTCTAAAACACAATTTAATGTAATGTAACCAGTCAGTCAGTTGAGGTCATACCAGTGTAGAATGGGTCCTAAGCCTATTCCATTTTGAGTTGTAAAAAGAGCAGATTAGACACAGAAGTGCACAGACACGGGGAGGACAGATGATACCTAACCTGATGACTAGGCAGGCAGAAGAATCTACACTTCCAGGACCCTCAAAGGATTTCTGGCTTCTAGAAATTGAAACAGACAAAGAAGGACCTCTTCCTAGAACCATATCCTGAATTTGGACTTCTAGCCTTCTGAGCTGTGACAAGACAAATTTCTGTTCTTTAAAATCACCTGTTTGTGGTTTTTTTCCTGTTACAGTAGCACCAGGAAACTAAGACATCATGCGACATCACTGAATGCAGAAGTGGGATGAGATGTGTAAAATCTGCTCTTGTGGATTGGTACATAACTGGTTAAATTTATGACAGAAAAAAACAATGGAGAAAGTAGAAAATCTATATTTTTTGATTAAATGGGTTAGAAAAGGAATAAAATATTTGGCAGTAGGTAAAGATAAAAACAGTGGTTGGGAGGTGAAAATAAATGTGAGAGCATATTAGAGCTGTGGAAATTAGGTGAGGGCAAGAAAAACATCAACTAGAGGAAAAAGTTTAAGATAAGTTTAGTCAGAGTTTCTCAGCCTTAGCACTACTGAAATTCTGGGTCATGCATTCTTTGTTGGGAGTGGTGTCCCATGCACTACAGGATGTGTAGTATTTGCCTTTATCCACTCACTAGTTGTCAGGAGTATCATCAAGTTATGACAACCAAAATGTCTGCAGTCATTGACAAATGCCCCTTGGGGCAAATTTGGTCCCAGTTGAGTCTCTGGGTGAAGCTGTTCTCCCATCCTGCTCTATCTATTCTGCAACAACAGCCTATTATTAGGTTTTTTATTAGGAATTTTGTATGTTTACATATACAGAAATTCTATAGAGAAGTAACCTGCTAGAGTCTTATGTGAAGTAAGATAGTCCTACTGAGTAAGTCACCTTATATCCACATTTCTCTTTTCCACTACATAGTTAAAGACCAGAGAAGTTATCATATATATATATTTTTTTGTATAATGGCTTTGCTTTTTCCACACTTTATTGCTTTTCTTTTCACCAAGAAGTTGATCCTCAGTTACCAATTTGCTCTTTAATTCCATTCCCATCAACAGTTGTGAAGGCCTTATCTCTTATGATTGCCTAAATCAACGTAATGCAGTAAGTGTTTACTAGTGTGAAAGTTTTAGCAAAAAAGGAACAAGAAATTCTCCTAATATCAGATTCTCTGTCTTGGAATGACGGTTAATAGTGAAAAAAATAAAAGGCTTTGAGTTTAAGAGATCCCAGGGTTTAAAACCTGCCTTTGTCATTTATTATATATATACCTGTTTTAGTCAAGGCCTTTTGGACACAAAGAACAGACAACCAGTCAGGCTAGCTCAAGAAAAAAGTGGGTTTTATTGTAAGATACAAGAGGCAACCTCACAAGCATATCATCAGAATTAAGGGCTATTCTCTTCAATGCTTAGAGCCACTGTTTCTCTCAATTCTGCCTTCCTATCATACTCACAGCCCAATATGGCCAGCAGCTGTGGCTCTACATCAAATCCCCTCCACTCCTATCTCTCAGTGTTTCAGTTCCAAAATTCCAGAGGGAAGAACTGGCTTTGCCTGGCTCATTTCAGTTTAAAGAGATCTTCGTGCCAGGCCATGACATGGGCCACTGTTTAGCCCAAAGTCAGTAGCTCATCTTTATTCTAATCAAGTGTGCCCTAGGGTCAGCATCATGATTTCCTGTGGAAAAGGCTGGAGAAGAGGCATGCAGTGACTGACAACTCCAGTAGCGTGATCCTGGCAGTTATTCTCGCTGAGTCTTGGTTTATCTATAAAACGGTGTTAGTAATATCTCATAGAATGCTAATGATCAAATGATACAAAAACATGTCAGATCAGTGCCTGGTATGCATTCAAGAAACAGAACTTCCTCTTCAGAGTACGACAACCAAAAAGGGTTGTTAGTACATCAGTAAACACGTACCTAAGATCAAGTTTATGCAAAATTTAGGGGCCTGGTATTTATCTTGAAAACTCTTATTTACATAGAATTTGTTTATCATAGTTCATTTTTTCACTGCCATCTAGTAAATCTAAGAATGAGAAAACTAGCTTTTTTTCCCCCAATAATTCCTTGTGTTATAAGAATTGTTGTAAAGATGGTCTGTTGGATATCTGGATCTGGTAATTGGCTTCATTATGTCTATGACTGTTCTTGGGTCAAGCTTAAGAACTCTTGCAACACTCTCTATAGGTATAACGCCTTGCCCCTCCCCTATCCCCAAGCCTCCATTCTCTGCAAGTCTGTGGCTTCCCAAAGTCAGTGGGTAATAGATTCACCCTCTGTGCTCAGAAATACTGAATTGAAATTAACATCTGCAAACAGGTCCCCAGGTTCCACTGATCTTTCACCTGGGATAAATCACTGAAGATTTTGCATTTTATTTATTTGAAGTCCTTCTGGCCAGAAACATACATATATCTTCTTGTATAGAGTGATTTATGTTTAAAATATTGATTAGTTTCACAAACTGCACTACCAGCCTGGGAATCACGTGGGTAATACTAAATAAGTAAGAATATGATGACTTGTTTTGGAACAAAATAATAAGAGCATTATGTATATAACACAGGAAGATAAGCAACTGGAAATGTAATTCTAAAATTATTTTGTTATTTTAAAAGGACACTGAATGATTTAATGAATGTTATTTAAAGGATTTCAGAAACTATATCTTGGTTTTGGCATCCCCAAAATTTTTAAAAATAATCAATCAATGCTCAGTATACCTTTAGGTCCCACTGACTCAACTGTAGTCTCTGAGTTCCTTTCTGAGAAGTTCTATTTGTAGCGGTCCCAGTAGTGGTTAAAACGCTCAGCTGCCAACTAACTAAAAGTTCAGTGGTTAGAACCCACCAGCAGACCCACAGGGAAACGATGTGGCAGTCTGCTTCCTTAAAGATGGATGGCCTTGGAAACCCTAAGGGGCAGTTCTACTACTGTCTGGTAGGGTCCAATATGAGTTGGAATTGACTTAACAGCAGTGGGTTGGGTTTGGTTTTGGTTTTCTAACTATTTGGAGGCACTGACATTTTATGATTTTTATCCTTTTTTTAGAAGGACCCCAATGAATAAAAACAAAATTAAAAAATTAAAATCAAACTAATTTTATTTTGTAATTACTACATAGGACAACTGGACCCTTTTGTAAATCTAAGGTACATTACAGAGATTTTATTTTTCCTATTACAGAGATTTTTTTTCCTATATCGTGAAGGGACTCTATTCTGGTGGAATAGTGTCTAAGGCATTTGACTGCTAACCAGAAAGCTGGAGGTTCAAACTCACCAGCCACTCCTTGGAAGGAAGACTGGGCAATCTAATTCCATAAAGATACCTCCTTGGAAACCCAAGAGAGGCAGATATGAGTCAGAATCAACTTGATGGCAGTGAGTTTGGTTTATATATTGAAACAGCATTTCATCATTTTAAGAGTTACTTCATCATTATTCATCATTTTTGCAACGCTAAAAAACGTAAATAACATGACAAATGACTGAATTATCTAAAAGGGTGTGAAATAAATCATCATCTTTTAGTTTCCTTACTGTGTATACAAAGAACTGCATCACCACTCTTCAAGAAAGTATATAAGAAGATCTGAGACACCATCTTTGTAATATGCCCTTAGCTTTCATCGAGAATTCATTTTTTTCATTTTCCTCTAATAATGGTAAAGTGAAAAGAACTCACAGACGAAGACATTTTGCAATTATTAGACACATGAGAAGAATGTTGTAAGCAGAGTGAAAGATCTATTTAGTTCCTAATCCCCAGAAGCTGTGAATATTACTTTACATGGCAGGAGCAACCAGTACTTTATATGGCATACCAAAAAAAAAAAGCCAAACTCACTACCGTTGAGTCTTATCTGACTTACAGCAACCCCTCTGTGAGTTTCCAAGGAAGTATCACTACAGAAGTAGATTGCCCAACCTTGCTTCGGAAGAGTGGCTGGTGGGTTTGAACCCCCAGCCTTCTGGTTAGCAGGCAAATGCGTTAGGCACTAGATGTGATTTAATTAAGGATTTTAAGAGGAGAAGTTTATTGTGGATTATTCTATTAAGTGTCTAGATCACATGTGTTCTTTTAAGAGACAGGAACTGAGAATTTTGTGACAGAAGAGGAGGAGGCTACGTAGCTATCTTAGTTCTCTAGTGCTGCTATAACAACTACCACAAGTGGGTGGCTTTAACAACAGAAATGTATTCTCTCAGAGTTGAGGAGGCTAGAAGTCTGAATTCAGAGCTCCAGCTCTAGGGGAAAGTTTTGCTCTGTATATCTCTTGGTCCTAGGAGGATCCCAGTGCAGGAACCCTGGGTCCAAAGGGCATGCTCCTTTCCTGGTGGTAGTAGATCCCTTCCTGCCCTTCTCTCTCCTTTTATCTTTACAGGCCACATCCCAAGGAAGCTTTCTTTACATCAGATCATGGCTATGATTGGACTAATAGTATCTTACCTTTCATCCTCTTAACACCTGATAAACTTACCACATCAAATCTCATCACGGGGGGATCATTACATATCTGCCACATTACGTCATTATGTAAGTGCTATACTATGTTGTTGTATTTAGATCTCTAGTAACTGTTTGTGAAGAGCAGCCAAGGGTGATTCAGGCTCTTCTTGGTGTTTTTTTATCGTTGGCCCGTTGCTGGAGAAGGAGGAAGTGGCTCTCACTCAGTAAGTGAAGTTGCTGGAGGTGTGGGTGTAGTTGTGTCTTATGGGGACTGTTGCTGTCTCCCACTCAATTAGACAAAAATTACAATTGAATAACGATCAAAAAACTAAAAGGACATGGACAAAAAGCACACCATGTAATCACACAGGAACAGTAACCAAAAAAAAAAAAGAAAAAGGGGAAAAAGA